TTTATTAGTATTGAAAAACAATCATGCATGCTAAAATCGTTTGAACTTTGGTTTACTAGCTTTGACACATGCATCGTCTTAACGTGGCCAATAGAGATCATGACATAGCAATTCTAACACAATATTTTGAATTTGTTCTTTAAAAAAATTAGATTAGCATGTATGTTTGACAACATTTTTAGAATTACTCTTTTCTCCCACCCATACAAGTCATTCATTAACACTTGGTTGTTGTGAAAAGGTGTTCTGACTTCTGAGTCATTCGGTAAAGGAAGTTTCCATCTGGACAAAACTTTGCCGGTGATCGAAGGATCATAAACCCACTTTTGTCCCAGAAGAATGTTACCTTCTTTTTGCAGGTGATGAGAGAAAGAGAAAGAAGACTATGCTCCCCTCTCTTTAACTACTCCATTGGATCACATTTTCAGGTAAGAGAATAACAGTTGCTGTGTTTTCTTTACATGCATTTGCTTAGCTCACATGTCATCTTATCTCCTTATCTGAGTAGGTCCAAATGAGATCAGGTTAGAACAAACTTTGAACTTTCAGTGCCTTTTTTGGTTGGGAAAAACTTTAGAAACCCAAAACCAAACAATATGTCTAAAGATGCAGTTTAGATTGTCATAATTCATCAAACCCGCTTGAAGAAACCTATAAACCGTTCATGTTTCATAAATCTTACACATAACATAAATGTCTGATAAAGCTACATACATGACCGCATAAAACTGTTTAAAACCGTGTGGATCCATACATGTAATCTTGAGTTAAGACTAATACATTTCTGGTTATTTAACATTGATCCATTAATGACACAAAGTTGGTTCAATTCATGAACTTGAATCTAATTATTCGAAGTTGGTCCTCTCGACCCATTAAATTAAAAAAGTTCAAAGTCTCCAACTTAATTTGTTATTTCTGAGTCCATTCACGAATAAACAAATTTTATACTACTTGTTTACTCTTTCACACCAAAAAAACAAATGATAAATCGTACTTTATTGTCAATTTTTTTAGTGTTGAAAAAAATCGGTTCCATGACATATTTCCGAAGAAATTAGCAGAAAATACA